AGCCTGGAGCCTGTTTCTGATTCTGTGTCTCCCTCTCTCTCTGACCCTCCCCCATTCATGCTCTGTCTCTCTCTGTCTCAAAAATAAATAAACGTAAAAAAAAATTTTTTTTAAATAAAAAAAATTAAAAAAAAAAAAGAAACACACTAAAGACATTAAATCTGAAGAACCAAATGTGTTAACTGGGTTAGCCTAGGTGCTTTGTTTTCTGCAGAAATGGAATTCTATTTCAATTCCCCCTCGAGAACTAGAGTAGTTTTGTAATATCTGTCACTTAGGTTTGAGCGATCCAGTAAACAATGAGAGTTTATGGACTTAGATGCTGTAAAAACAAGGTGGGACCTGCCATGTTACTACCTTTAGACATTGTGGCCCTGCTTTTCTCCAGCATAAATATAACTAGACTAGTTTCTTGTCTCTCTACCCAGCCTATGTCTGTTGTATTCCTTGTCGTTAGGGTAAGACCAGGTTTTACTCCGCAGTCTCCTTCCCCACAGACCCTTGCAGTACCTACTATATGCAAGACACAGCAGTACATGCTAAGAGATGCAGACAGCCCCTGCCCCCATCCCACCTGCCTGGGATTGCAGGTGGAGGTTAAACACGTTATTCTTCAGCTGTAATTACAATACGTATTGTGTCTCGAAAGGACAAGGGCCTGTCCAAAATACCAGGGGGACTTCTTTTAAATTGGGATCCTCTTTGGGAAGCGACTTTTCGGTTGGGGCTTTTTGGATAAGTAGGGGTTCGTCAGGCAGAGACAGGAAAAAGATATTCCGGGGAGAGAAAAGAGGCAGGTTCAGAGGCCCTGAGGCAGGAATGACCATGGCACTGAAGGCAATAGAAGGCCAGTGAGGAAGTGCTCTGAGTGTGGCTTGCAAGGCAGACAGAAGTTAGGTGGGGCCTAGACCACCTGGGATAGGTTAAGAACCTGGTGAATGAAGACTTGTAGGGGATTAATTAACATGATTAAGTGATACTGACCACTCATTTGTTCCCCAGGCAATCTTCGCTCCATTCACAGGTTTAGTTACCCCTTCTGCTGATGACTCCCAAACTTATATCCCTGTATCAGTGTCTTGCTGAGCTCTAGACCCACGTGTCCAGCTTGCACAATGGACAGTTTGCTCATCTATAACAGGACGCAGATGAACAGATAGATATGAAAGGGCCCTTCTAACCTTAGTCTCGTCTGCCTTCCGAGCTCCTCAGAAGGAAGAATCACTCTGGAGGAGGAGGTTGAGTTGAGCCTTAAGGGTGGGCAGACTTATCACGGAAGCCTTATCTCTCTGAATCACACTGGATTCCTTTCTTTGAAGCCCTTCTTCCCTGTCCCTGGACTTTCTGCCTGGGGGACAGGCTGAGAGCACATATCGCCTAGACCATCCCCAGAACTCTCCTTTCTGCTCCGGGACCCCTCCTACTCGAAATTCCATATCTGGATCACAAAGTCAGTTGAATTAATGTGGGGTGGATGAAACTGGCTTGCACACTCGGCTCACCGTCACTAGGACAGTTGTCACAAAATCCTTCTCCCTGTGACAGCCTATGAGGTCTTTGTGCGTCTGGCCCCTCTCTTGCTGTGCCCTGCTTGACTGCCTTTGCTCCAGCCCCAGTGAACCGCATCACCCTCAGCAGTTTGTTCTTCTGTTCTTTTCATTTACACTCGTGGTGTCCACGACCTGGAATCGCCCTCCCCGAGCTATCAGAACATTTACTACATCATACGATAATTTTATAATCTTCTCACCACCCAACCAGACTGCCCATATCATATTAATCTCTAAATCTATAGCACCCAGCAGAGGTTTTCAATATTTATTCAATGAATCAATGCATCAGTGACTGAATGTCCAGCTGGATGATCTGTAAGCACCTCAAAGTCAGCCTGACCTAGCCAAACACATCAACATGCACCCGTGCCCTGCAAAACAACCTGACTAGTCTTCTTCTGTGTTCCCACCCTACCCTGCCTCTCCTCTTAAACATATCAGATTATTACCTGTTAGCCCGAGCCCCTCCTGATGTCAGAGACTCTCTCTCTTCTCTGTATCGTAGCCCATGCCACAGTGCTCAGCACACGGTAGATGCCCCATCGTTGTAGGTTGAGTGAATAAAAAGAAGGAAAGAAAGAACAAAGGAAAGAGCCAACCAGCTCTTTTCTCCATTGAGAGTTTATCATTGGTTTCTCCAGTTGTGAGAGATGAGGGTCCATGAAATGAATTTGGATGCCCCTATTCTGAGTTTGACACAGGCACACAAATGTCCATCAGAAGTAACTAACTCAGGGCGCCTGGGTGGCTCAGTTAGTTAAGCATCCAACTTTTTTTTTTTAATGTTTTATTTATTTTTGCGAGAGAGAGCGTGAGCGGAGGAGGGGTAGGGAGTGGGGGCAGAGGATCTAAAGCAGGCTCTGTGCTTACGGCAATGAGCTCGATGTAGGGCTCAAACTCACAAACCGTGAGATCATGACATGAGCCAAAGTCGGACGCTCAACCAACTGAGCCACCCAGGTGCCCAAGCATCCAACTCTTGATTTCAGCTCAGGTCATGATCTCACAGTTCATGAGATCAAACCCCGCGTCTGGTTCTATGCTGACGATGCAGAATCCGGCCTGGGATTCTCTCCCTCCCTCTCTCTTTGCTTCTCTCTCTCTCTCTCTCTCTCTTAAAATAAATAAATAACTTTAAAAAAAAGAAAGAACTTACTCAGTAGCTAAAGAAAGATGCTTCAAAGCACTAACATCATCCCCCATACAGTATAGAGTCCGGCAGTAAGCATTAGACTAGGGTTTGGAGGTGTGAAGTCTGGTTCCAATTTCACCCCTTAGTAGCTGTGTGTTCTTGGGCCGTTCAATCCCTCTGGTTCTTCATTTCCTCTTTGGGAAATTTCAGGCTGAAATTCTGTGATTCACAGAGTAGCATTTCTGGAATTTAAAACATAAATGGCAGGACTTGGTGGGACCTCCAGTGGAAGGTGTGTGTCGTCTGTGCTGCGACAGAGCCAGAACGAGCAAAACCGCCCCATTTACACAGCAGGGTTTGCTACTGGAGACTCTTTGGTAGTGTGACGCTCTCCGAGGGGAGGGCCTCACAGCAATCCTTGGAATTAGTAGCCGAGGTAGATTTGCAGCCTCTTGATTCCTGGTCTGGTGCAATTCCCGCCCCCCCCCCTTCTTGCTATTCTCCTTTAATTTTGCATTCCAAACACAATAGGTATTTTTCTCATTCTAAACACAAAACTATAATGTAAATGTACTCTTTCAGACTATCCAGGCCACTTAGCCCCACCTCCACAGAGTCATTCGGTCCCCTTGGGAGTTGAGACCTTTCAGTCTAGGATGTCATAGGAAGTCCTGTTTCCCCAGCCAGGGGCAGCCAAGTTCTCTCTCCCATGTGTCTGGTTTTCATCATCATTAGTAAGCGAGGCAGTTCCTTAAGCATCTCATTTATGATGAGCATCTCATTTATGATGCTTCGTGGCATAGCTCTTGTCCACAAAGACTTCATGGCAGATTTTTCAAACTGCACCAGTGTTTCCTTACCCGATAGCTCAATATAGGGCACGTGTTTCTTCTTTTCGTGGAATAGCATGAAATTTACTTGAATAGAGTGGAAGTCAACAGGGAAGAAAGAAAAGGCTTGATGCAGAATGTATCCCCTCCCTAAGGGTAAAGTATTATTTTTGTGAAGCTTTGTTTCTCCTTGTAAAAAAAATACACATTTCTTGTTATGTGTCGTGGTTCTCTTTAACGTTTGAAAGACACGGTCTTATAGTGTATGTTGAGGAATATGAAATTATCGGAGATATCACAGGGCAAGGAAGAGGAGGAGGGAGTGAAGGAGAGCTGCGTGGGTGTCTATGGCAAAAGACCTTCGGGCAGAGACCCACACAGAGAGTGGTCATGCTGGGGGTGGCGGGGGTGGGGTCCCACCAGGAAGGCTCTGGAGAAGTAGTGGAGCTGAGCATCCTGGGGAGTGGGGGAGGGGTGCCATTTAGCGAGACAGGAGTAGTGTCTGGAAGTACTGAGGGAAGAGAGCCACTCTGTTTCTTCTTGCCCTGAGTCCCTGCTTCTAGAATGAGGCCCATCCTGGAGCCTTGGAGTCTGTGGCGGTGTTGTTGTATCTCTTTGTTTCCTCCTTTGCAATTCTCTTCTCTTTTTCCTGGTTCTCCTGTCATTCAGGTGTTGGATCTCCTGGCCTGATCCCCTGATTTCATTTCCTCCTCTGTTTTCTACTCCTTTGCCTTTTCACTTGACTTTCTGGAAGATTTCCTTCCGCTTTATCTTCTGACCTCTCCACTGAATTTTTCATTTCTGTTGTATTTTTAATTTCAAAGAGCCCTTTGACCTCTGGACATTCTATTTTTATAGCATTCTGGGGGACGTTCTGAGTGGCTTGGGAATGCGGTATCTTCTCTTACCTCTCTGAGAATATTGATTATACCAAGTTTTTTTTCTGCTGACTCTACATTTGTAAGAAATCCCAGAACCTTTTTCTCATGGCCCTTCGTACCTCTACTGTCATCTCTTCTACCCTGCCACCATGCCTGGGTTCGTCATGGAAAGTTCTTTAGCAGTCAGGGTCTCTTGTAGCTGGATACCTTACTGCTTCTGGAGTCACCACAGGTTACCACTTTACATCTCTTAAGCATGTATATTCTGCCCCTAGGAAGAAGTCTCCTATGAGGAGAGGACCTGTGAAGGCGGACAGTTTGCCACAGTGGAAGTGACAGATAAGCCTGTGGATGAGGGTCTGCGTGAAGCCATGCCCAAGGTCATGAAGTATGTGGGGGGCACCAATGACAAGGGTGAGTATCCCTGAGGGATGTGGCTCTAGTCTCAGAAGCAAGCTTACTACGGCTCCCGTCATCAGTGGAAAACACAGGGAGAGGCCACAAGGCACATGTCACCGTGTGCTTCCGTGGCCTGTGAACTTGTTGTACTGTGTGCACGGGGGCACTCGGCAGGCAGGGGGGCGGGAACCACACTGACTTCATCCCAGCCTCCCCCTCGTTGTGTGGTATCCCTGCTCAGTATCACTGCCTTCCTGCTTCTCTCCCAGGCATGAACATACACTCTGGGGTTTTTAACCATACGGTGCTTATCATGACTGAGTGAAGGAAGCCGAGTCACAGAGCCAGGCCAACCTCTGACCCAGACCTCTGCCTCCAGGCTGAACATCTCTGCTCAGTCCCCTGGTCTGGTTGCTCAGAATCTGCAGGGTACTGAGGCTCAGTGAGTGTTGAGTATAGCAAGTCCCCAGCTGTGTTCTAGCAAATGAAGGGTCTGAGAATATTTAAGCTGTCCCACTCCTTACAGTCTTGGCAGTCTGTGATGGCTGTGCCCCTATTTTTAAAATGATGGGCGTGAAGTTTCAGTGTGCCTGTCAGCATGAAAACCATATTTAATATGAATGTAACACTAAAGCTCTCTAATTTAAACTACCCTTTATGATCAGTGCAAACCCAAAGTGGATCAGAAAGCAAGGTGAAAAAAGAGATGTGATGTTTTATTTTTAGGGTATTTCTCAAGCTGATAATTTAGAAAGTTAGAAACTGGTATTAACCTCAGTAACATTTACTAAGACTAAAGTAATCAGGCTTTGTATAAGTCCACCAGTAGGAAGTCAGAAATCTTTTCCTTCTTAATACTGTCATAACTTTTTTTTAGAAGAAAATATGTATAAAAATTATAAAACTCGTTAAAGAAAATTTTGAACATAACACAACAGCACCCCAAATAATACAATCATTGTTGTCTTCTGAATGGATTTCTTTAGGGCTTTTTGCTAGACTTTTTTTTTTAATGTTTATTTTTGAGGGAGAGAAAGAGCGTGAGAGGGGGGAGGGACAGAGAGAGAGAGAGGGAGACACAGAATCCGAAGCAGGCTCCAGGCTCTGAGCTGTCAGCACAGAGCCCAACACGGGCCTTGAACTCACAAGCCGTGAGATCATGACCTCAGCCAAAGTAGGACGCTCAACCGAGTGAGCCACTCAGGCATCCTTTAATAGGCTTTTAAAATGTAATCATAGTGTTTGTGCAATTGTATACCCTTCTGTTACTTATTTCATAACTATTTTCCACCTTTGAGAAATTGTCTTCTTAAGCATAATTATTGATAGCTATGTTATATTGTATCATGCACCTATAATTCACTTAGACATATTGCTGTTTTGAACACTTATATGGCTCCCAGTCTCTCACAATTATAAATTCTGCTGCAATGAATATCCTATCACCTGTAACCTTTTCCACATTTTGGATTATTTCCTTAAAATTTATATTTAAATAGAGAGTATATTTACAGTCTTGATATATATTAGCAAATAATGTTTTCCAAATGAGTTGAATCACTACACTCCTATTTCCAAAATATACAAATAAGAGGTGTTTTGTATGTATCTGACTGTATAGTTTTCATACCTGAAAGGTTTATTATTAATTTCAAGAACAAAAAGAATCCTGATTTGGAAGAAGAATGAGACCAGCAGATCTTTCACAGTTCTGAGCCAAAGTTCTGTCTACAATACCCTCACTCTGTGGGTTTTTATGTTTTCAGGAATCGGGATGGGCATGACCGTGCCTGTTTCCTTTGCTGTGTTTCCAAGTGATGATGGCTCCCTGCAGAAGAAATTGAAAGTCTGGTTCCGGATTCCAAACCAGTTTCAGAGCAACCCGCCAGTTCCCACCGATGACAGTGTTAAGATCGAAGAGAGGGAAAGCATCACTGTCTATTCCCTGTAAGGAGAGGATTCTGTGTGTGTGTGTGTGTGTGTGTGTGTGTGTGTGTGTGTGTGTGTGTGTGTTTAATTTATTTATTTAAATTCAAGTTAGTTAACATACAGTGTGGTATTGGTTTCAGGAGTAGAACCCAGTGATTCATCACTTACATGTAACACCCAGTGTTCATCCCAACAGGTGTCCTCCTTAATGCTTATCACCCATTTAGCCCATCCCCCCACCTCCCCACCGACAACCTTCGGTTTGTTCTCTATGTTTAAGAGTCTCTTATGGTTTGCCTCTCTCTGTTTTTATTTTATTGTTGTAAGGAGAGGAATCTTTAGGCATCCAGGGTAGCACGTGACTTCCATCACCACTCCTTAATCATCTGGAGGAAGCATTTACATTACATTTATATTTTATTCCAGTTTTATTGAGATATAATTAAAATATAACATTATAGTGACTTCAGGTATACAATATGTAATGCTTTGATATAGGTAAATATTATGAAATGATCACCATAATGTTTAGTTAACATCCATCACTTGACACAGTTACAATTGCTTTTTCCTGAGATGAGAACTTTTCAGATCTGCTTTCTTAATAACTTTCAAATATTTATTACAACATATTGTTAACTATAGTCACCTTGCTTTCTATTATATCCCCAGGACAAATTGACCTTATAGCTGGCAATTTGTACCTTTTGACCACCTTCACCCATTTCTCCCAACTCTCCGCCTACATCCCCTATCGTTGGCAACCATCAAGCTCTTCTCTGTGAGTTCAGGGTTTGTTTTTTTTTTCAATTCTACATGTAAGTGAGATCATATAGTGTTTTCCTTTCTCTATCTGACTTATTTCACTTAGCATAATGCCCTCAAAGTAATCCACATTGTTACAAATGGCAGATTGTCCTTTTTTTATGGGTGAATAATACTGCATTGTATCTATGTACCACATCTTTGTCCATTCATCTGTTGATGGCCCCTCAGGTTGTTTCCATATCTTGGCTATTATAAATAATGTTGCAGTGAACGTGGTAGTGCAGATATCTCTTCAAGATAGTGATTTTATTTCCTTTGGATATGTACCCAGAAGTGGAATTGCTGGATTATATGGTAGTTCTACTTTTAATTTTTTTAGGACCCTCCATACTGTTTTCCCTAGTGGCTGCACCAATTTACATTCCCACCAACAGTGCACAGTTCTTTTTTTTCCATAGCCTTGCTAACTCTTGTTATTTCTTGTCTTTTTGATAATAGCTATTCTAATGGATGTGAAGTGATATCTCATTGTGGCTTTGATTTGTATTTCAATGATAATTAGTGACGTTGAGCGCCTTTTCATGTACGTATTGGCCATGTGTATGTCTTCTTTGGAAAAATGTCTATTCAGATCCTCTGCCCACTTTTTTAAAATGTTTATTTATTTTGGGGGGGAGAGAGAAAAAGAGTGTGTGTGTGTGTGTGTGTGTGTGTGTGTGTGTGTGTGTGTGTCAGCAGGGGAGGGACAAAGAGAGAGGGAGACAGAGGATCTGAAGCAGGCTTTGCACTGTCAGCGTGGAACCCAATATGGGGCTTGAACCCATGAACCGTGAGATCATGACCTGAGCCAAAGTCAGATGCTTAACCAACTGCCCATTTTTTATCAGATTGTTTGGCTTTTTTGCTATTGATTTATAGGAGTTCTTTATATATTTCAGCTTTTAACTCCTGATCAGATATATGATTTGCAAATATTTTCTCCCATTTAGTAGGTTGCTTTTTCATTATGTTGATGGTTTCCTTTGCTGTGCAGAAACTTTTTTGTTCAATGTAGTCCATTTGTTTATTTTTGCTTTTGTTGCCAAATACAAAAAATTGTTGCCAAGACTGATGCCAAGGAGCTTACACCTTATGTTTTCTTCTAGGAATCTTATGGTTTCAGGTCTTATGTTCAAGTATTTAATCTATTTTGTGTTGATTTTTGTGTGTGGCGTAAGATAGAGGTCCCATGTCAGTCTTTTGCCTGTTGCTGCCCTGTTTTCCAGACACCATTTATTGAAGACACTTGGCTTCTTTGTTGTGAATTGGTTGACCATATATGCATGGGTTTGTTTCTGAGCTCTCTATTCTGTTTCGTTGATCTGTATATCTGTTTTTATGCCAATGCTGTACTGTTTTTATTATAATAACTTTGTAATACAGTTTGAAATCAGGACATACACTTCAGCTTTATTCTTTTTTTCTCAAGATTGCTTTGGCTATTTGGGGTCTTTTGCGGTTCCATACAAATTTCAGGGTTGGTTTTCTAGTTCTGTGAAAAATTCCATTGGAATTTTTATAGGGATTGCATTGAATCTGTCGATTGCTTTTGGTAGTATGAACATCCTAACAATATTAATTCTTCCAATCCATGAGCATGGAATATCTATTCATTTATTTGTGTCTTGTCCAGTTTTCTTCATTAATGTCTTACAGTTTTCAGGTACAGATCTCTTACCTCCTTCGTTAAATTTATTCCTAGGTATTCTTTCCTATTTGATGTCAATAGGATTGTTTCCTTAATTTCTCTGTATTGTCAATGAATTAAGTTAAGAAATACCGAGTCCTGACAATTTCTCACTTCAGTTTCTTCAGCTTACAACACACAAACATTTGTACTGTATCTGAATAAATGCGTTTGCCAGTTGCCAAATTCACCTGGATAGAGTATCCCCACAGCTTAAGCTGAACATCCACATTAGCCACAGCAGGGTTCTGGGAGACTCTGGGAATATCTAAGTCAAGCGGTAATTTGGGGTCACGAATATGTAAATGAGTACATAAATACATAAAGGACTTGGGGGAATCTCCTTTTTTAGCCCATGCTCCCTTTGAATGCCAGAAGGGCAGGGAGTATTTGCCAGAGCTGGACTGCCACCCCCTTAGCTGTTCACTGTCCATGGTCCTTTGAGCAGAGCACTATTATCATTCTAGTCCTGTTGCCAGGGCCTCAAATGGGGTCGTGTTCCTTCTGACTGTAGAGCACAACAGGTACAGATGGTTGCATGTTTTTATTCTTTGGGCCCCAACCGCCCTTCAGAAACCAAGTCTCTTGTAGATAATCAATGACTCCCTGTTTTCAAAATCCTACTTTGTGACAGGCACTGAACCATGTATAGTCAGAGACCAGGAACGTTACCAGTATCAACTATAGGTATGGATCTGCTCTTGCTCTGGAACAACTTAAAGAAAAATAAATATACAAATAATCTTGCACTGGAGAGTTTTTGTCCACGCCCAGGGGCCTCCACACATACTTATTTGACTGCCCCGCCCCACTTCTGCACCTGAGGATGCAACTTTCTCTGTTGCCAACACTAAGGCTGGGAATGTGAGTTTGGCTGCTCTGGGCAGTCCTAGGCCAAGCGATGCAGGGCCCCCCCCAGAGGACAGTGAGTGTACTGCAGTTGGACCGCTAGCACTGGAAACTCAGCTTTATTCCAGTCATCAGACTTTCCAGCCTTCACTACAGAGTCTGCAGAGAAAGCAAACTCTAAGTAAAGAATGTCTTTCCCAGGTCACCTGGGTGGCTCAGTCAGTTAAGCGTCCGACTTCAGCTTAGGTCAAGATCTCAAGGTCCATGGGTTCTGGCCCCGAGTCGGGCTCTGTGCTGACAGCTCAGAGCCTGGAGCTTGCTTCGGATTCTGTGTCTCTCTGTCTCTCTCTCATAAATAAACATTAAAAAAAAAAAGAATGTCTTTCCCAAGGGCAGGGACTAGAGTGGGGAAGCGAGGTGAGGTGCCTGTGGCACAGAATTTAAAGAGACATCCACTTTCACAGTTGTCCAAGTGTAGGGTTAGCACTGAGAGAATAAGCGCCTCCTTAAATCTTATGCCCTTTGTCTCACCTATCTGACCTTCATGCCTGATCCCTCTGTTCCATTCTCTTCCCTGTGTCTTGGGAGGCAGTCTGGTATACTCCAATGAATAAGTATGTTTTCGTTTGAATCCCAGAAGCTTGGGAAGTCCCTCACCCTCTTTAAGACAGTTTCTCCATCTGTCGAGTGCCATAACAATGTCCCTCATAGGATTATTACTAAAGAGTACCTTTCAGTAGTTACTAAGATGCTTCCGTCTTTACAAACCACTTCATGACCTGCGGTAAGTTTCAGTAATTTTTTTTCCCTTCACTCCTTTTGATTTCATGAGGAATGAGGTTGACATGGTTAAATCAGTTCGCATAAGACTTCAAGCGGACGAGGCTGGCTTTGAATCGTCTGTTTTACCAGACCCAGGGTGATTTTTTTTCTTTTAACATTTTAGTATGGAAATTTTCAAACTTATAAAAAAATAGAAGATAGTGAAATCCTACGTAACCCATCACTTACCTTCAATGATAATTAACTCAAGGCCAAACCTGTGTAATAAAAAGATACAATAAACTTAATGACGTCCTATGTAACCTATCACTCACCTTCAAGATAATTAACTCAAGGTCAAATCTGTGTCATGGGTACCCTCACAACTACCACCCAGCCCCTCCACTGGGTTATTTTTAGGCAAATTCCAGACATTTTGTTATTTCATCCACAAATACTTCAGTGTGACTACCAAAGACCTTTTAAAAACACACTCATAATGTCTTATTACTCCTAAAATTTTAACATCATTTCATTAATGTGATAATAATATAAAATATGTCCAGTGTTCAGATTTCTCCCACTACCTGAAAATTTGTTCTTAAAAGTTTGTTTTGAGCCGGGATCCAAATAAAATCCATCCATTGCAATTGGTTGGTATGCCTTTTAAGCTTTTACTAATCTGCGGCCTTCCTCGCCACTACACCTTTTCATTTTTCATTACTGCCTAGGGGTCATTTGTCCTCTTGTTTCCTGTAGTCTGAATGTTGCAGATTGCCTTTCAGTGACATTTTAATGTGTTCCTCTCCCTCCGGCACTGCCTGTAAATTAGTCGTTAGAACCAGAGGCATAGTCAGATTCCAGCTGCTGCTTTTGGCAAGGATGTTTCATAGGTGGTGCTGTATCCCTCTAT